ACGGACCAATGCGGAAATCAGGCGTAACAGCAATCACATGAACCAGGTTAGTTTGTTTTTATCACTATCGCATTTTAAGTTTCCCCCCCCCCTTTTTTGTAACCACAACATTTATATACAACAGCTTTTTGATTCCCTATTCCATACCAGAATATTTTTCTGAGAATTTCAAGACCACCTCAATATTAAATTTCGAACGWTTAGTTAATACGCGATAGATACTACTAAGCAGATACTATTTCATCTATAGATGAAACGACCAACATTTTGGTGTGTACAATTATTCTTGTATAAAAGTTTTTTATTACATGTWTTTTTTCGTAAAAGTATACTAGAATCAATCTGAAAATATTATAAGATAAGATAGATTATAGACTATAAGCATATAGGACTTAATTTGCAGATGATAATTACTTTTTTTTGATAATATAAATTTTTAATTACTATAATGCAGTATAATAGAAATAATAGAAACGTATAGATTTTTTTTGTATGATGACATCACTCGACGATTTTCCCTTTTACAATAATTTATGACTAATTTTTTGTACACTATATTATTTTTTAAGGACATTTAATTATCGTCTAGCCAAATTTCATGTTATTTTGTTGAATGTACATAAATCTCATCATTTTTTGTAAATCCCTTAAGTACCCCCGAACATAAATATATTTATTTCATTTTATCCCCATCAACAGCTGTATTTATTATAAATTCCAAAGTTGTGTGAATACCAGTTCGAAAAAATTCTGTGGTGGCTATCGTCAAATAGTGTCCACCCGTTTTGTTTGTGCATTTGGCACACCAACTTGTCCGTAGATACACAACCACTGATGACCTATACAGTGTAGACTACACCAACCCTATGTCAATCAGAACATGTAGAAAAAATAAACTGTCTTACGTTTTTTACCAAACAGATTTTGACGAGACGCCGAGGTTCAGCACCAGTTGGCGCCGGAAACGGTGAGAGTACTGGATTCCTGACAGCCGGCAAGGGCCAAGAAGTGACCATTCCAAGGCGCGGGTCTGTGCCATCAGATTTTTCCAAACAGAGTAAACAAATTTTATTCGTATTTTAAGAAATTGTATATTTTTTTTTCAATTACTTTTATTAATTTTTTATAACATTTTATATTAATTTTTTTTTAAATCTTCTTTTTTAACATTTTTACCATAATTGTTTTATTTGTGAATGACCGCAGTCACAGCGCTTTTATGTCAACGTACTTGTGCACTTGTGGTTAATGCATGGCTTTCTATCGCAGGTGCCCTTTTTAAGGTGGTGGCCACAGGGCCACTGTGCACAAATAGCCCGAAGCAAGGCGCGAGACGTTCGTCGCTACCGTATGATTCCAATATTGGATTATCGAGCTCGCCTCTTGTTTCTCCTTCCCGGCCAGGTGAGACGATCWTCGATTATTAGAAAGAAAAGAAAAAAAAAGCATCCAAACATTATCATATTATTAGCATATAACAAAACACTCGAAATTACTTATAATAACATAATATGAATAAAAATGGGTTTATGTCAGTCAATATACGCTTTGCTTTTTAATGACATATTAACAATTAATATAAGTTATATTTAGACTGTTCTTTGTTATTGTATTTATTTTTTGCTTATTTAGCAACTTTAATACATTTTTTTTTTATTAGATCAATGAATTTAATTTARTCATATCGTTGAACCAAATGATCTGGTGTCGTTCGAAGTGATCACTAAATATTATAACTATATAATTAAATCTCAATTCGTTTTAACTTGAACAATTTTAATTTTAACTTCTATTGTTCCTTAAATAATTAAGTATACTATAATACCTTAAAATGTACAAAGGAAAAATATTCATTAATAGAGGTTAACAATTTAGATTTGTAATATATATATATTTATGTCTCGTTTCTCATYTGTTCGCTTTTAATAATCATAAATTTGATCGCTCGGATGAATAAAAATAATATTAACAATACTATTTTAGTGAATAGCATGGGTGGTATTATTTGATTGTAATTTATACGTTCTTAGATGATTATTGTATAATTTAGAGTTATTATAGATCGTCTATATTATTATGACGTGTAATTCGTATATTATGTACATTGTACAGGTTTAAACGAGAATTTATTATGTTCCAGTAACGATTTCGTTGTAAAATTTATAATATTCCTTTTTGGTTGTTTTGTTTTTGCTTTCTTTAGGCTGAAAGTTTTAACTTTTTAAACAAGAAAAAGCGTTTTTTAATAGCTAAATGCAGTGGTTGTACAATATACAATAACTGTGTTTATAATTTGTATTATATCTAGTATGTAGGTATATGTATATTATTCATAAACATACATGTGGCATATTTGAGAATAAAGGAGTCTCTCTGTAACCGAAAACGTATATCCAATTGTTATGATTTCGGTGAATTTCATCTTTTGACAATCAAGTTTAGAGCTATTAAATATGTATTAATCAATACGCCTAAATATGAATGATATTCTAAATAATTATCTAATAAATTATGCAAAAGTGAAAACAAAAAACAAATATTTATTGAATTTTGGAAAATATTTGAGAATATTAAATTTAATTCCAGTTTTTAGGATAACTCATAATTTTGAAATTAGTGTAAGAAATTTTGAAAAGTCAGTCTTGTAAAATTATTCTCGGAAACTTTGTAAAATATATTTTATAATGAGAACATGAAAACCATCCTCTTTCAACCACCCACAACCTAAAATAAAAAAACTTCTCAAATACGCCGCAACGATACAATTTATTACAAAATTACCATATGGTTTTTACCGTGCCCGCGATTGTTCTGCAACAATTTTTATAAAATGTTTGATTAGACGGTGTGATTGCAGAGAGAAGGGGTTCGGACGGAAGCCGCCCGGGTAGCCGAAGACGACGCAGGAGGTCAATGAAACGACGAAGCTCCGGTGGACCGGATGTGTTGCTGTCCACCGGCCAGTCAATGGACTCGTTCCTGGCACACCGCCGCGGTTCCTTGCCCGTCGAAATACTTGCCACGTCCTTCTCGGGTAAATTGTATATAGGATATGACTTCAGAAATGAAAACTATCACAACAGTCGAAACTATTTCGAGCGATTTAAAAACATTTATCTTTTCTTTGCTCAACAAATAATCTTACTAACTATGGGGATTTTCCGTTCAAATTACTATAATACTATAAGTCTAATATATACTCAAAAGTCATAATAATATAATCAAATCGTTCGATATGATAATTTTTCTTCGGTCTACAACKATGCATTAGTATGACATAAATAAATGTGTGCTTGCATGCAGTACTTCCGGAAAGTCTACAGTAACTATCATGTAAAACCTTCATTCACGCAGTCTTCTTCAGCAGCGTTTAACCTTATGCACTGTACTCGTTTTATTTTATTTTTTTTACACGATACAGTAATTGCCAAATAGGGGAAAGCAGACGATAATACAGATGGACTATTTTTCAATAATTCACCCCCCCTCCCCCTCCCATAATGACAAAATCATTTAACCAACACATTCCCGATAAAATATAGAGTATATCTTCTGAAGTAGAATCCATCACATAGGTTTAAGTAATATTCATGTCATTATTATACAATGTAGAATTTTTTTCTTACAGGGCCACATTGAGAAGATTGATCTTCGAATTTTCGCATCGTAGACTGACAAAATGAATACAAGATATTTGGACGATATAAATATGCAAGTCGGCGGTTGCGATGATATTTGCACAAAATCCTTGATACTTAGTATTATTAACTATAAATAATACGCTAATTATTGACAAACGGAACATAAATAACGTATGGTCGTCCCAGTGCAGTTCTCTTAAACAAACAAACGTAAAAAAAAAAATCCATTAATGGAATCTATTGATTATTTATTTTCATTGACCAAAATTTATTATTTATTATTATTTATTTTCATTGACCTAAATCTCGACGCTTATGGTTCATTTTTGATTTTTGGTATCTATATAAGCTTAACACTTCTAAAAATTAATATTAAATGTAAATATAAAATATATTATTCACCATACTATTGAGATGAAATGTAAAGGGATAAATTATATTATGTATGATCATTGATCACTTTACAGTTTGTTTTAAGCCGTTTTCCACATATATATCTAACTGTGTTTATGTGGTACATATCATGCATTTGTGTTGACCGTCTTTGCCTTTTTTACAACTATTATTATTATAGTCTAAGCTTAATTGGGCACTCCGCATGCCGCCTACTGAACTTTTGTCGCTCAGATCACCCAACAATAACATTCTGCAGGGTCTGTTACATATTTTAAGTGTTCGGGCTTCAATCCATCTGCATAAAACATCCCGTGTTCGGTGCTCCGCTCTATAATACATGTTAAGTCCGATTTATTGGGAGAAGAAATGATTATGCAACATAAAATATGCTTCCACAATAATATAAAATATATTTATGATTAACGAAAATATTGTATTATTTCGAGTCATTTTAATTCGACCGATTGCGTTATACGATGTGTCGTCCACGGTAGRCATACAATAATATGTACAAATAACTGTTATTGTATGGCATCAAGTACTTTATGCTGTTCAAATGTAGTTTGTATATTTATTTTCTTCCTTCTTCGAATTCTTCATCTTGTTGTTTTATTATTATTATTATTATTATTTTTTTATAAGTATAACGAAAAATCACTGCCATTGTACTGATATTCTTCATTATTATACTACAATTTTTGCGAATTGCGTTATGCTTTAGTTTGATTGTTAATTTTGAGTTAATAATTTAAATAATCATTTTTTTTAAAGTATTTCTTTGGTTAAAATAATCCTCTTTGATTGATGTTTATTTCTCTGCTGTATGTGCCAAATATGAGATAGTATTGAAACAATAACTTCCGTATTTTTAAAATTCCTTTGTAGGTACAATAACTGAAAATTGAACAAAATTATGCTGCAACTTGTATCTTAATCAAAACTTATAGTTTCTCTCTAGTCAAACGCAATACGTTTCTTATTAGTATTTTAATAATTACTATCGACGAATCTCTTTGGTCGTACCTACTTATAACAATAAAAATTAACCGTTGCTTAAAATTCTTCCAATCGTTAAAAAAATATATATATATTCATATAATAAACCAAGTCTAAATATATATATATATATTAATGATCTGCTCTCCATTTAACGGGAAAATTATGTAAATTATTCGGACGTGTTTATTTATTTATATTATTAATTGAAAAATAATAAAAACAACTGAACTATTATTAATTTAATTTATAAGTTTATTATAATATGGAAAAGTATGTACCTATTATAATATTGATGTACATTGTTTATTCTAAACAGAAATAAGTATACACATACACATTATAATATGTTCTTCAACTATTTAAATKTATTTAAACCTTATTTAACAGATAACTTGGATAGTTTTATTTGTAGAAAAATTTTATTTTATTTTGATAATTACTTTTTTTTTCATAAGTATTTTCAATACAATAAAAACTATCATTATCATTATCATTATTATTATTTTGCTAATTAACAGCTTAATTTAGATGCTAAACAATTGGCTAAATTTGACATGCGCTTTTTTTTTTTTTTGCTAATTTCTGGGGATTTTTGACACGGAAAGTATTATATACTGAATTAGTAATACTTTTATAAACGTCTAACTTAATCTCAATATTTTCTATAATAATAATAATGATAATGATAATGATAGTTTTTTTTGCTAATTTCTGGGGATTTTTGACACGGAAAGTATTATATACTGAATTAGTAATACTTTTATAAACGTCTAACTTAATCTCAATATTTTCTATAATAATAATAATGATAATAATTATGTCTTAAAAACGCACATCACACATTTTGTTTTTATAACTAACATATTTTATTATTATTGTTATAACAATTATATTTATTTTTATGTCCATATTTATGTTGTAAGTTAATAGGTGAATGTATTTTGTGTTGACTTGTTTTTC